TAAGCCAGGTTCCTTGAGCATTAACCTAGAAAGAACTACATTATAATCAAAGTGGTTTAAGCGATTTGGCGCCCTTACCTGAGCTTCAACCAGTTCATGTTTACCAATCAAATCCTCAACTCCTAGCAGATGTTTTCCCACATCACGGTTGCGAACAACCGGCTGGAAAAAAGCATAATTTTACACAGAATGCACTAATAAGATCCTATACCAACCTCCAGTTGCCTAAGTTCGCTAGCTAGGGTATCAATGTCCCTCAGAAGAGACATGAGATCGTTCAGCCCCATTAGAGCTTTCCGACGTTGTTCCAACAGGTTCAGTAGATGCGTCCATCTGCAATCCAAGAATGTATTTGTCGAACATTACTAAGATCCTCCAGAAAGCACGGAATATACATGCGACATGATTTCTTGTTTTAAATACCTAACTAGCATAAAATCAGGCTTGCAACAGTCATCATGTCCAATATCTAAGGTGAGCGGAATACTATGATTTCGAAAAATTTTAAGGCGTCCTGAATTAAATCTAGTTCCAAAAGCCTGTGTTCTCGCGATATATAGGCAGCGGCTGCCGATAATGAAATAACACATAAAAGTTGACATTGACGAAAGTGCAAGGTTCAATCTTAACCCAATTGTTAATAATTATATTATTGAGTGAGTACAATCAAAACAGGATATTATTTCCGCTCAACCCTAACATCTATCTACTTCTGATTTCTTCTATTTAAACACAATGACAACAGGAAAAACTCACCGTTGTCTTACAACAAAGACACCTGAGAATAGAGTTCACTACCATAATTTTCAAACTCACCTCTACAACTGGTTTCGAAAAAGATTTTTTTTTAATTCAAAAATTCAGTTACGCACGTAAAAAATCGGAGTAAGAGGAAAAAGAAATGTTCGAACCTTTCAATGATATCTCTCTCACGTGAACGAATTTTGTCGCTTTCATGGTATCTCTCATTGCACAAATCAGCGCACATCGAAGTAAGCAATTTGAAGCGTTCTTCCTGGAAAATACATATTTCCCACATAGTCGCGGATATTCAGGTATAGCGAAGCTAAAAAACATACCCTTGCAAGGATATCATTAGCAATTGCTTGCTGTTTTTTAAGAGACTTCTCAACTTCATTAGCCGTCCTTCCTTGGTCCATTTCTTCCAGGACTACTTGTACGTTTCTCAACCAGCTCTTAAAATTTGCTAATTGCAAGATTCCAGCACATGTACTATTACAAAAATTGGGAAACATACCTCTCGGAGGTTAGCCTTCTTGTGGAAACGCTGCGCCAACTGCTCAAGTCGCTCTTGCCTGTAATTACATAAACTAGTTAGCGTCATAAAAAAACCAACTAGCACACAAGCACCTTTGTAACTCGGCGATAATTGCAAGTTGTCGATCATTCTCAGCT